TAGGCGTGAGCCACGGAATCAAGCCGAAATGTGCAAGTAAATCCCAGCAATATACCAAAGTACATGCACGGACAGGAATCACGCGCGCGTGCTTCCTGTCTATGCGTGTACTTTGGTATATTTCAAACTTTTTTTGTTAATAACTTTTTAATAAGCAACGAGCGACGATTAAATTAGAAGAAAAAGTTACTCAGAATTATGTCCTTGACAACATATGTCAAGGTCAAGGTCATTGGAGCTTGGTCCCCTATTCGCTATATTTACCGCCAAACTTGAAATATGAATTTAGGATCTTAAAACAAGAAAAAATTTTCCTCTGGAAGTATGCTCGCAAACGCTTCATACAAGAGATATTGACTTCTGAAGTTGTGAACTATAGGAACGAATAATTTCGAAATGTTTTGTTTTATTTTTGTTTTGAAGATCGAAGGTCATTGACAAGTTTATGAAGTGCCTATTAATGACCTTCAATCACTAAAACGGAGGATAGCGCAAACGTGCGAAGAAATGACAGATGTACAATGTCAATCAGCCACTCATTCTGTCATCGATAGGTGCAATGCTTGTCTCCGAGCTGGAGGCCATCATTTTGAACAAAACATTTAATTATTAAATTTTGATTATTGTACAGTAATAAATAGAATAAACCTAAATTATTTCGAAATTATTCGTTCCTATAGTTCATAACTTCAGAAGTCAATATCTTTTGAACGAAGCGTTTGCGAGCATACTTCCAGAGGAAAATTTCTTCTTGTTTTAAGATCCTAAATTCATATTTCAAGTTTGGCCATTTAACCCGGGAACACCATGTATAACTTATATACATATGTATATATACGTATACTGTATATAAAATTTTGTAGAATTTGAACTTTTAAGAGCTTAATGCACTGGATACTGATTTTAAATATTTACATACTATTTACACATTCTTGCCACCCCGCAAAATTCAGTCCAACCAAATCTGTCAAGAACATGTGTAACGAACTGCTTTTGCTCGGATAAGCTCACCGGGAATCAAGAGCAATGGGACACGAGACGTGATGACTTGAGTTACAAAATATTCTTTATTCTTAGTCAGTTTTAATGTTGTATAAAGAATGTGTACATGGATATGTGTGTCGAGTATAAACATGTGAGTGTGTGTTTGTTATATACAATGTGTAATATGCAAGTGTGTTATATGAAAGATCTGCGCGTGTGTTCGCTGAGTTCAATGTATTGTAAGTGACCGTTATGAATGCTGTTTATGTGGATGTTCGTTTATACAATGTATGTATGCGTGGGATCATAATATATATCGAGATCGAGAAAAATAAAAAAAATATTTCAACGAAATTAACTGATATCCTGTAGCGAGTCAAAATAAAGAACTGCAATCCGGTCAAGGAAATATTGAACGTCAATCAAACATTAACGAAAGATATGATTTTAAGGAATTAATAAAAAAGAAAGGTAAATGAAGAACATCTCCTACGAAAAAATAAACAGTTTGATATATCTTTGATATATATTTGCCAAACTACACGCCCAGATTTGGAGCCATGTTATCACTATGCTCGATTCATTCGCCGAGAATTCAAAGAAACTACATTGTAAATGATGGAACGCGTATTTCGGCACCTAAAGAGAATCTAAGAAATGCGATTGAGATTCAAAGATACGGAAGTCATGAAGATGGTTGGCTGCAGCGATGGGAATTAGACTGAAAATACCAACAGCTGTCATTTCACAAGTGGATACGTATTTCTGTTGGGCGATTATATAGTGTCATAGTGCTTTAAAAGACAACAAACTGTTTCATTATCATTTACCAAATAGAAATACATTATAGTGTTAACTAGTCAGAGATTGTTATGGCTCATTAATTAGAGACATTAAAATGTCTTATACTCGGAAACCGATTAGATTTTATTTGGATACTCAAAGTGCAATAAAGTTAGCGTGTATTCAGATAGCTATTATGCGAAGTCAAAGCACATAGATACTAACAATAAATATAAATTCGTAAAAAAAAATATTTTAAGTAAAATAATTGATTTGAGAAGCAAATAACATACATATATTAACACTTGTGAATTTACAATCTGCGAGACGTTTAACGCCAAATTGTAACGCGGATCTTATAATTAATGCAAAAAATTATATAAATCATGAATTGCAACAAAACTACAAATATTTATTTTGACATATATGATAAAAAAATTTCTGTTGTTCGTTTCTTATAATTTAATATGGCAAGGAAGGGGGATCTAAAAGCTTTAAAAAGATTTTAAAGTAGTAAAAAATCATTAAAATTAAGATTTTGTGTTTAAAACACTTCACAGATGTACAACTGACATAATGAATATTATATTCATGTTTTTGTATCATCAAAGTTGACTTACCGTCAAAATTTGATAACCAAGAATGCACACCAGAGAAGTAGCTCCGAAAAGATGAGCCAATAATGTTATGTTAAATGCCTTCTCTATTGATTTTCCCATCCTGAAAAACTTTATGTTATTTAGACACTAAAATTACATTTTGGTAAATGTTAAACATTTGTGGTTACATCTCATCAATCACTTTTTAATTTTCACATATATTATAGTGAATAAAATCGTAAATCACATGCGCTTTTGTTAAGAATCGGCCGTTCGTATTCAAGGATTATCTCGTGCGGCGAACATTACATAACAGTTTCGCGCGCATTATCGGGCGGCGCCACCCACTGTATCATTTCGATCATCGATATTTCGGCAATTGTCCCACCGCGGCGCGATCATTATATCCGACGATAATCGCGCCAATATTTATCGAAGTCGGTCGCGGCATACCGTTCCTTCTTCTTCTTCCTGACGCCGAATCGAAAGGATGTATTTCTCAATTCCTTTTCGCGATAAGTGAGCAAATTAATATCGTGCTAATTTTCTAATTCTCGCTGCCTTTCTTCTCGCGCTAATTTTCTTCGTCTCATTTAAATCGAGGGCGATTTGTACAGAACTGTCGGCGATGCGTACCGTGAGTGGAGCAATTAAGTTCGAGCGTTAAGGCCATTGCACGTTAAAAAGTTTTAGTCGTAATCATAAGGCCGTAAGCAAATCAACGAATCATAATCAAGCATTCTAAAACGTAATAAAAATGTTTGAACTGTGATTGGTCGATTTGCTTACGGCCTTACGGTTACGACTAAAATTTTTTCACATGCAATGGCCTTTAGGAAGCGGCAAGCGTTATTCGGCCCGTGCTCCGTTCCGCCATTATCGCCAATTCAACTACGTCTCATAGACTTCGTGTACTAGACCCGTGCGTAAATGTACATCGGAACAATTAAAATTAAAGTAATTTTGTGCTCAATTGAAACTCAGTGTGCAAATCCTATGCATCCAAGTCTTTTTTTGTCCTGCAACATTTATCGTCTTACTCGCGACGAATACCGGCTTCTTCATCTCTTTCTCTCTTTTTCCTTTACTCTGAGTTCCTCTCTCTCTTGCGAAAGCTTCGTTACTAACAGGTTGGAATTCGCAACAGCTTTGAATCACGAATTGCGGCCTCTTCTGATTTCTAAGATACGACACTTTAAAGTATTGCATTTTTATTCCTGATATTCAGTTTTTCGTACTATATGTTATTTATGCCTCTTTGTTGACATTTTTTGTTCGTGTACGCTACCTCGTTTGTCTTTAGTATGGCTGTTACATACAGACTTCTATATATTGTTGCGTCCCTGCGGGTCGTCTAAGGCGGTTACTCATGAACCTGCTGTATCCGGGAGAACGTTGCTAAGCGTTGTTGTTAAACAACGGCGGACATCTTGGGAGAGATCGGTCATCGGGAGTCTCGCGACGGATGTCATTCCGGGCGGACATATTTGAGATACGATTACCGTTATTACCCGTTCTGTGTTCCTTGTTCAATTGTGTGTTCTGTGTTATTATTAAAGTTCCTTTTGTTCTTTTAAAAGAGTGTTAATCATTTACGTCGCGGTACGCGAGTGCCGTTTGTGTCGCGCGTGTTCGAGTATTATCGAAGTCGACGCGCGGACGCAACATTTGCTCGTCCGGGATACGATACGACGGAGTGGACGATTTTCTGGAGACGATTTTCTGGAGAATTGTGTGTTTCTTTTCGTCTATAAAAAATGGAGCAGGAAAATTCGCTGACGGCAGGAGTTTCGACGAGATAGAGGAGTCGATTGACTTCAACGGCGGCTACGACATCGGGACCATCATTGGAAGCGATTACACTTCAGTCAGCGATGCGAGAGATTCGTGAGCTACGCGAGGAGCGGCTGCAGCAGCGAGCCGATTTTGAGACACAATTGCGTCAACACGATGAGCAGCGAGCTGTATTTGAAGCACAACTGCGCCAACGCGACGAGGCGTTACGGGGGATGGAACAGAGGATTCGTCTGCTGGATAATAACAACCAGCTAAGTCGCCCCATTAACAGAAATTTTATGCCTAATATTGCGCCTAATTTCGAAAGAGACGCGCGTGATTCAGTTAATATTAACACAGAATTAGGCTTTAAATTGAAGCCGGACATTTTTGACGGGACTGTTCCGCTAAGAGAGTTCTTCTCACAGTTTGAGTTAATTGCGCGAGCAAATAGGTGGAGTGACGCTGCGAAAAGCGTCGCTCTCATTTCATGTCTTAGAGGAAAGGCGCGTGCGGTATTGGAGTGTGTCGTTAATATTGAAAATCTCGATTACGCAGAATTAAAGTCTAAATTAGAGTTGCGCTTTGGGGAAGGATTGTTATCTCAGTCTTATTATTCCCAATTTACGAACAGAAAACAAAAGTTGGGGGAAGATGAGGCCACCTTGGGCTCTGATATTGAACGGCTTTCGCAGTTAGCGTATCCCGAATGTACGCACGAAGTTCGTGATAAAATTGCTTGCGCGCAATTTGTTACCGCTTTGTCTAATGGATTTGTGAGAAGGACTCTGCAGTTGGAAGGAATCACTTCCTTGAAAATGGCCATACAAAGAGCCATGGCGGTGAACCTACACGAAGAAGAAGAAGATATTAACAGCGATGTGTGACCAGTGAAGCCAAGGCAGCTATTTGCAATTGTGCAGAAAATATATATACAAGGTGTACCATTTTAATCAATCCACGCGAATATCTCGAAAAGGATAAGTTTTTCAAAGAAATGTTTCAAACAAAAGTTGCATGGTTTCGAGGGGGCCACATGATGAAAATATGGACTTATCTCGAGGGCTTTTCAAAACACTGTAATAAAGTATTTTTTTATTAAGTACTTTTTGAGTTATTTTATATTTTAATCTGATATATTTTGATATAAAAAATAAAATACCTCGTAAAATATTTAGGGTAATTATTTACTATAACGGACCCAGCTCCAATGACGTTGACCTTGACATATGTTGTCAAGGACATAATCTTGAGTAACTTTTCCTTATAACTTAATCGGCGGTCATTGTTTATTAAAAAATTATTAACAAATAAAGTTTGAAAAATAAAACGTAATTTTTACATGAGTTTGTAATTTCCACGCAAGAAGCGAGATCCATCCGCATCAGGACGTTGTATAACTCAAATCAAATTTTCAGAAATAGGTTTGAGTTAGGTTATATTTTTCGGAAGTGGAGCCCCCCCGTAGGGGTGGTGGAACCCACTGCGTTCACGCATATACTTTCCCATTCACACAACAATCGTGAGGTGAACCTCGCTTCGCGTTGTAAAGTATATGCGTGGACACAGTGGGTTCCGCCCCCCCCCAGGGGGGCCCCACTTCCGGAAAATATAACCTAACCCAAACC